AAGTCTACTGTATATGTATTAGCCCAAGGCTCATATGGGGATCAAAGCATGCCAGATGGTATTGCTGATCTTAACTTATTCCATTAGACCTAAAGGAAAGCCTGTCTCCCGTGGAAGGACAATCACAAGCCTAAACAAATGGCATTTATGCCTCCACATTTCCTTGCAGCTCCCATTAATAAGACAAGCCCTGATGTTCTACTATATTATTTATTGGCTTAAATTGAATTTAAATTTGTCCTTTGGCATTTACTAAATCAGATTTCACTATTACATTCCTGTCAGCCAATATCTTTCCTTAGGTGCAATTATACATCAAAGTTTACTTGAATATCTGAATTCAAAATACCAGCCTCAAGGGCTCAGTAAATAAATGTGAAATTTAGAACTGTATGTGGAAAAATTTCTCAAACAAGCAGACTCTTCATAGGTTCAAAATTAATCTGTACTAGAAAGAAAGAGAAAACAAAAGACATAATACAAATATGTGCAATTAATTTACTCTGAAAAAACAATACTTATTCGTTTTTAATTGTAACACATTAAGAGGAAAATACTTTCTGTCAGAATTATCAGGAGCATATTCCTCATTGGATTTAATGTCAGTTGTAATGTGCTTAATTTTCCATTTTTCTGAAGTGATAAGAAAATATTACTAATATTTCTTGCATTACTGTAATAAAAGAAGGATGATTGGGGTTTTTTTCCTTTGGAAAAGTTTTAAGTGCTTTAACTGCTCCAGGGACTGCTCCAGAATTTTTTTAAAAACATTACTTCTTCTATTTTCTTATCACAAATTACTTGTCTCTGCAACCACAAATCTTCTGTGTATATATTTTCCACAGCCTCTCTGCAAAGAGGATTTATTAACATGCTCAGCCTCATAGCAGCTCAGAGCTATTGAGGCCACTCCTGGCCCCCAGTGCAGTGCTGCAGGAGCACCAATCCAAGATAAAGCCAAGTGAAAAAGGAATCAGGGGAGCTATGTAACTGGACTTACAGTGTAAGCAAGACCAAAGGGCAATGCTGTGTCCCCAAAAGACCTAGAGACTCAAATGACACATTAATGAGCAGAAAGGAAACAATGAAATCAAGAACAAAGCAGAAAAAAGCCCTCAATGTACCCAGATAAAGAAAGTGAGGGTGTGTAAGAAAGAAAAGAAACTCAGATCTAACTTCCATCTAGGAATAAAAGGTAAGATAGATGGATGTAGAAGGAAGGAGAAATAATAAAGAAAATCAATAACAATACAGTTGTGCAAAAAATTCTCCCTTTCCCTGTGCAAACTTTCTCCCTTGAAAAGCTAAAGCTAAAGACTTGAAACAGGTTGTGTCAATACAGCCAGCATGAAATATACTGAGGGATGATACTGTTGCAAGCATAAATGTTTATTGAAAATGACTGATAGCATGGCATAAGACAGTCCAAGATAATTTAGATAAATATCACATTTGAATTCTAAAAGACTGCTATAAAGAACACCAGAGAGGTTCTTTACAGAAAAGAACAGCATACAAATAATCTCTTGGCAAAATCAACAGTGAAGTGTGAATTCAGAGCTCTGAATAACCAAAGTGATTACGAGATCACATACAAAAAGTTGAGAAAAAAATCACTGAAAAGCTGGCAGGAGGAAGCTAGCAACCACCACTCTTAATTCAGGCTACCACAGAAACATTAGAAAAGTGTGTACCCAGAAGCATGGCTGAGGGAAGGACTGTACTTACTACAAAGAAAATGGGAAAGGAAAAATTCGGTGCCATAAACTTAAGACATCCAGGTTGTTTGGCTACAATGTGGAAGTTTTGTGCTGGAAGCTTTACAGAAATGTCCTTGAGTGTTGAACCTAATGGTATGTTTCCCCATGCACAGAAAAGATGGTGAAAAGGCAAAAGCCTTTCTAACAGAATGCAAAGACTTTCTTACCAATACCAAGAGAAATTCCAGGTAGATGATGTGAAATCATATCTCACCACTGGAAGAGATCAGTGGTAAGACAGTAGAAAGCATTGTCTGTGTAGGGGGAACATAGAGAAAGTATGTTGGAGCAGTATGTGCTGTACTGGAATATAATAAAGCAATAAATAAGCAAGAGTGCATAAGCCAAAAGATTTTCCAAAGTGAATATATGTTATTCTTTTAATATCCTCATTTCTACTGCTTGCCCTGCTGTACCATATGAGAAGCCTTTTAATGATGAAAGAAAGGAAGCCTGTTTCACATCTGGTATTTTTTACAGAATCTGAAATGATAGGTAGAATGGAAACAACATGAATTCACAGGTGAGAACTGCAGAGGCTGTCTTAAAGGATACAGTAATTGAATTAGGGTTAAACAAATGGCATAACCAAAGATACTAGAAAGATCTACACCACAGCACAGACTGCACTAGCTTGGCTCCCTCTGTCTTACACTGTTCTTAACATTATCCTGGTGTGCCAGCTCTGTGCCATGAAAACAGCCCTCTGGAGGACTGAGACACATAATTTACATATGCATTTAGCTATGCATTTATGTTCAGTCATTTTTGATTGAAAAGACATAAAAATAATGTATACATCCTGACACCTTGATGGAGATGTGGGGAGGCACAGGAAACTCATCAGCAGGCGCTCAGGTGAATCCTTCTGAATATATGACCCTGAAATGGGAGCAAATAGGGCAGAGGTTATCTAATGGACTTGGATAGGAAGAGCACAAACACATCAAAATCTTATCAGTATCACTGCCTGAGTTAGGCAGATTTCATGCTGACAGCAGATAAATAGATAAAAACAATTTCAGATACCAGGGAAAAATGAGACATGCGTAACAACAGCTGTATATATATATATATATATATATATATATATGTATATACTGGCTACAGTTCAGTTCAAATCACTAACTGGGCATTATCTTGCTAGTGAGAGACATTTAGGGAGCTACAAAATGCACACACAGAGATGGAAGGAACAACCTGAAGAGTACTTGAGGAGTGAAGAAACATAACTGAATTTGATTGATGGCAACTTAATCACAGCTTGAAAAAGTGAAGTTGAGATGAGGAGGTTTAAACAGCTCAGAGACAAACGATTTGTACCAACTACATCCAAATACAGAAGCAGGATAGGAAAGCTGCTCTGGAAGACAGGATGCAAGGCCCAGGTCTGGAGTCCAGCAACTGTGGTCCAAATGGATCTGCTGGGGAAGAGTAGAAAGTAATGGGGGAACGAAATTGTCAGTACTGTACATTGCTACAATTAGGGATCAAAAATATAAAAGGAATTGGAAAAGTCAAGACTGTAAAATGTTATAGGCAAAAATTGTATGGTACAAGACTACAAAGTAGGAGGAGCTTTGCTGAGGACATTTTTTGACAACTGATAGGCATGTTGAACTATAAATTAATAAATAAAGAAATAAATAATAAAAGCCCAGCACAAAGTGGGATAATTTGGATTATGAATAAGATGGAAGCGCTGCCAAATAACAAGTAACAAAGTTACTTTGGGATCTTGCAGGTGAGGTGTAAAATACCCACACCATAATTTGGATTTATTATAAAATCAGCAGTTTGTCTGGAGGCACCTGCTATGAAGAGCTCTGAAATTCTGAGGGGGAGTAAAACATTTGGAGTGCAGCGATGCAGTGGTCCCAGCTCAGGCCACTGCAACAGCGTTTTTCCCCCTTGAAGTGGTCAAGGGACCATAGTGACGCGAACAGAAACACTGCTTCTTTATAATAATTTATAACAATTATAATAAATAATGAAATAGTTCGTTATTATGGATTCTCTGGTGGGTTTCTAGAGTCAGTGGGTTGCGAGTCGATGGTCACAATCTTCCCATCAGAATTATCTTCTACGCAATTCGAGCTGATTTCAGCATAGTTAATGAGCTTTTTTTGTTATTTCCTTCCCTGTCCTAGGAGTTCTGCCAAGTGTCTTTGTGGCCCGTGGATTCTGCGTTCTTTGTGCCCACTATGAGCAGCACATCCCTGTCCCCAAGCTTTGCTGACCTCCCCCTGGGTCTGAGACCACTGAAACATGCCAAGCCCTAGAACTTAAGGCAATTCTACCGACAAGCAATTTGTCTTTCTAGCACCTGGGCATCAATTAAGAGCTTGTTCGCTGCTGTTTCACAGATTAAATCTCCTTCCTTGATTAGGCTTCAAAGTATATAAAGACCAAAACCACAGAGCGACCTTTTTAAGGACACGTTGACACCTGACGCGCCGCAGGCCCGGCTGTCCCGGGCAGAGGCCGGGCCCGGCAGCGCCATGGCGGGCGGGGGCGGTGCGGGCCAGCCCCGGGGCAGGGCAGGAGCCGCCTCCGCGCCGGGGCCGCCCCTTCCCGCCGCTCCGCCGCGGTAAGGCAGCGGGAACGGGCCGGGCTGCGCCGGGAGTGCGGGGAGGCGGCGGCGGCAGCGGCCTGGCTGCGAGGGCGGGAATGGAGGCACGGCAGAGCGCGGTGGCTGTGCGGGCAGGACTGGCTGTGCGGGCAGGGGCGTCCCGAGCCGGGCCCGGGCCTTGCTGCTGCCCCGCGCGGCGCTGCCGGGCCATGGCGGTAACGCGGGGCTGGGCGGGCGGGCGGCCCTCGGGCCCGGCCCCGCAGGAGACAGCCGTGAGCCCCCGAGGGCTCTCCACGGTGCCTGGTTCTGCTGGCCCCGTGCCCCGCGGGAGCGCGCAGGTGTGAGGGACGGAACGTTTGCGTTTTGACATTTGTTACCTGGGTTCCCGTCAGGATTTTCTTGTGTGCCGGTGACAGGACCCCAGGGAATGGCCTGAAGCTGTGTCAGGGGAGGTTTGGGTTGGCTATCAGGAAAAGGTTCTTCAGGCGGAGGGTTTGGCACTGGAACAGCTCCCCAGGGAAGTGGTCACAGCACCAGCCTGGCAGAGCTCAAGAAGCATTTGGACAATGCTCTCAGACCCATGGTGTGGCTCTTGGGGATGTCCTGTGCAGGGCCAAGAGTTGGACTCCATAATCCCTTCTGACTCAGCATATTCTGTGATTCTGTGACCCTGCCGTCTGTTCACCTTTCAGCTGCCTGCCTGGCCTTACTGCCCCTGTGTAAGCTGACAGCGCCCACTTTTGTGTCAGCCTTCCCGAGTTTCCTTAGCACACTTGCACTACTAGCTGTTCTGAAACTGCCATGACTCTCCTTTGCTTGTATTTTTCGTACTGTTTGCCCTGGAAATAATCCTCCTGCTCCTCTTGTTTCTGCTGTCCCACAGACTGTTAGAACATGGTAATTAACTCCCATCAAATACAAGAATAAGGCTCACTACTGTGTGTTAGTTAGTGGCTGGATACTGTCACACACAAGAGAAGGAAAGGGGACAGGTTTTTCTTCTTCATGGTAATTGTGGAGGAAACAGACTGGCACAGGGAGCTCCAGGTTAAACCACAGCACGTGGGAATGCTTGTTTGGTAGCCAAAGAGCAAGCCACAGTTAGTGCTGAGGTAAAGGTCATTGGAGATGTGGGTCTATAGGAAAGCAGGTAGGCTTTCCCCATTCTGCTCACAAGAGTTCAGCCTCCCCTGTCCCTTTTTTGTGGGGAAATAGTTAATGAAAGATCAGAAAGCATGTGCAGGAAATTCTTCTGAGAAACAATAACATTAAGCAAAGATATTGCAAGTTGTATTCAACTCTTCTGTTCTCAAAAAGCCTAAGACCAGGATTGTTTTATTTTCAAATTTAACTTTCTCCTTTTTTTTTTTTCTTTTTTTTTCTTTATTTTTTTTCCCCAGTTAAAATCATGGCACTGAAACAGGTTTCCAGCAACAAATGCTTTGAAGGTTTCCAGAAGGTGTTTGAACATGACAGGTAAACACCACTAAAGCAACCAGGATGTTTAGCTTGGGGCAGTGAATCCATCCTGTCAGTCTGCAGGAAAACAGCATGCTCTCACTAATATCCATATTTCAGTCAGGAATCATGTCTACTGCTGCTTTGGCTGTGCTCTTGGATTTCTGTGTTAATGTTTAACATAATCTAGTATACTTAGTGCTGCAGAGCTGAGGTGGGAGCTAGTATTTTTACCTTTGAAAATGAAGCTTCATTACTTTGGGTTGTCCTGTTTGCAGCACAGAGAACCACTGTGTGTGCAAAGTTCACTACTGGATGTCTTACTTCTGTGCACTCTGGAAAAGTGCTGTGAGCAGTGACTCAGTGAATTGATTCTTGTTTGATGAAGGTATACAAAAAAACACTGTATTCAGAACAAGGTTGAAAAAGCTGTTGCCAAATCTAGTTTAAGGCTGAGTTTAAAAATGTTTTTTCCCTTCCTTTAACTTAGTTGTTACAATTCATTGACCAGATCTCCCTTTCAATGAAATGCACTGATCCACTGATTCCTTTTTTTGATGTTAGTGACCTTGTTGATTAAGTAGTGGTGATAACAAGAAGTATTTTATTAATACAGTGCAGAGCTAAAATGCAAAATGAAATTTGGAATCTACTTGCCTCCAAAAGCAGAAACTGGGAAGTGTCCTGTGCTGTACTGGCTCTCAGGTGAGCAACATGAGTCTTAGTAACTTTAAAAATACAGTCTTAAATATTTTTAAACTGCTGATCTACATTTACTGATAACTTAATGTAGGAATACTGTAGTGGCAGCTCTTGGATTCTACAGAAACTCATCTTTTGGAAGGCATACTTAGTTTGAGTGTACTGTGATAAATCAGGATGCAGCTTGGGGGCATCCTACCAGATTGTGTTCTAAAATGCTCAAAGTGTTGTACCTTTTTGTTCTAAAATGTTCATACCTTTTGTTCCAAAGCCTGTGGTTCTCCTTTAAGGCCGTCCTGTTGGGACACCTCCTGCTTTCCTTTGTCTTTAAAAACTGCTTCAGTTAACAGAGTAGGGATGTAAAAAGAGCCCATGGAAGCCAGCACATTTGTCCTGTGGACTCTGCCTTATTCCAGGTACAGCTTTGCAGGAAGCAACTGGTGAACTTGAAAAGAGAGGTGCTGTCAGCTGCCTTAGCACAAGCATGTCTAGTGTGAAATAAACCTGTGGGATCAGAAAGGGCCAGGGGCTGAAGAGACTTGTGCAACAGGAGTGAAGCTGTCTCATCAAAAATTAATTAATTAAATCCTTTTTTTCTTTTATTCAAAATAAAAAACAGAAACTCTGTTCTGTAATTTGAGGAGTTGGTTTATTGAGACTTGTGTTTAGAAAGTTGGAGACTGGACTGTTAGTGTGGAGACTTGTGTTACTTGTATATATTCATTTCACCACATAGCTGGTGGGTCTGATTTGTGTCAGGACAGTGGACTGGGTAAAACTGTTTATACTTGAAGTTAGGAACATCAAAATTGTCTGAAGATCTCTAAGCCATGCAGCACATTTATTTTATTGATTGTAAACTGTATTGTCTTGGGCAATATATCAGTCAAATTAGGTTACTGGCAACTTGTTCTCAGAGAAAAGTAGAATCATTAACTCCTCGCAAATTGCATAGTGAAGAAAAATTGAAATATTGGTGTGAAAGGTAATTTATTTGTAATTGGACTTTATTTTGACCTGCTGCTGTACAAAAGGTGTGTATTGCTGTGGGTTTTTGAGCCAAGGTGCTTATGAGCCTTTATCCTGTCTAAAGTATGTAGAATTTGTCAGACCACACGTGTGATTCTGTAATGCAAACAGCTGAGGTGACAGTACAAAGAAAAAAGCAGTTGCAGGATTAGGTGTCAGAAGTTAACAGTGAAGTTAGCAAATGCCTGTCCTGGTGGATTTAAATGCACAGTACTTGAAGGCACCATGCACTGCATGAGTAGGTGCTCCAGAGGCTACAGGGTGCTGTTAGTGTGTCTAGATGGATGTTTCTGTGGATTGTTAAGTATTGTTGAGCCTAATGAAAACATCTTCCATGTTTATGGAGATAGGAATCCTTGCTTTTCAAAACCTTTTCTGTCTAAGAGTTTTGAAACCAGTATGCAATGGGTAACCAGTGATATTTTTCTTTCCCTAGGGTTGACCTGCACAGAACAGAATTTTATAACAAAAGCTGCATTTCAACAAGCAGCAGCTGAGCATGGCCTTATTGTAGTGGCACCAGACACGAGCCCACGTAAGTTCAACAAGAGCCATGGCAACAGTCCTTGCACTGAAGTGCACTCTGTCCTCAGAGAGTGGGGTGCTGCAGTGTGCTGGAAAGTGTGTTGCCCACCTCAGTCAGAATTTCACCTCATTCCTGCATCTTGCATTGCTCACTAGGTTACACTGGGTGCACTCTTAATAACAGGGTAGTGAGGGTTTGACATTGGAAACTCTTACTGTTGTGGCACTAAAACTAGAACAAAAGGCTTCTAGAGTTCAGCACAGACAGGGTAAGGGAAGAAAAGCGGAACAAGAAATGTGTGTTATTGGAATTCTTGCTGACTTTTTTTGTGCCTTGCTGAGACCCTATAAAATCTGCAGAACTGTGTTGCCACACAAAGATGCAATGCTTGCTCTTAATTGTATTCTGTCTTCTAAAGCAAATTAAATACATGCCTTCAGAGGATTACAATACTTGAAAAGCAATCTAGAAACTCTTCTCCCCTGCAGCTACAACAGACTACTGATGAATGGATTTTTTTAAATGATGTTCTGTTACTTGTATGAGGCTGAGCGTATAGTATGGGAAATCTGAAAATGGTGGATCTGCAGTTATTGGAAATACTGGGATTTACTGTTTTATGTTTCATATTTGTTGGATTCTGTTACAGTCTCATGAGTGCTGTAAACAAAAGTGCCAGCCTTCTAGTATTTCCCAAGCTTTAGTGGGTTACATTTGGCTACAGGTAATATGGGAAAGAGATGTTCTTTCCATAAAGTATTTCTTACATCTATGTTTTGAAGTTGTGTCAAAGAATGTAAATGCTTCTAATGAAAAAGAGAAGAACAAAACTTGTGAATGAATGAACTTCACACTTCGTTGTTGCTATTTGCTGCAGGCTAGAGATGGTCAAGTAACCTTTGCATTATTCATATTGGGTGGTTGTACTGTTTTTCATAGTATCTGTGTAAATTGTCGCTATTAATGCCTTTGCATAGGTCGTTGCTTTGTCCATTTTCTTTTAAGTCCTTTGTGGCAGCTTCTCTCTTGCCTTTTAGCCTAGTAACTGGTAAGGAATCCTCTACTATTTAAATGAGTTTTGGTATGAGCTTCATATTATAATCCTAAATTTTAGCTCGGAGACCCCAGATGTTCTTAAGTCTGTTTGAGCTGTCTGGGGAAAAAAGTTAAAAGCAATTAAAATACAATCATGAGCTGAGAGGTATTGAAAATGCTTGCATATGTATTTTAATTGCATAGTGCATGAGAATTACCTTCCAGGAGCCAGGAGATATATCTGGATGGGGAAAAAGACTGTATGAAATCATTAAATACTTGTCATTACAGACCCTCTGTCAGGCCTTGATAGACTTTACTTTTCCTGCTTTGAAGGGGTTTGTTTTTCCAGACAGGTATACTGAGCAATATTATGCAGATTCCTTTTCAAATTTCTTTTTTTCAAGGCTTCCTGAAGGATTTTTTTATCATAATGAGCATTATGCCTTCATTGCCTGGCAGGACTTTGTGAGTTTTTGTCCATCTCCAAGGTACTGAAGATAGGCTTTTAACATCTAACATGTTGTTTAAGCACCACAGTACCACAGTCCCTGTGGTTGCTGGACTGTTAAGTTACAGAATCACTCTGTTCAGGGGCATGTCACTGGAGCAAAGTCAGCTTTGATCCTTGTACAAATCTGATTTCATTGTGTGGCAGGGTGGCAGCCATCTCAGCACAAATTGTAAGGGACTGTTGAGTTATGCGTGGGTTTGCAGTGCAATCTGCCAGTGGTAAAAGCCCATGTAATTTTGGATTGCAGAAACTAGGAAATAATGGTCTCTCTTTCTCCAAAACATTCCTATCACATATACCTTGAAATATTACATTCTGTTCTGCAAACCAGGCTGCTAAATCACATTCTAATCAAAGGGAGGACTGGATGGGATGTACTGACTCACAAGAACACATCTGCAAATGTAGCTTGAAAGTGTAGCCTGGAAAAGAGGATACAATCCTGCAGTTATCCAAAGAAGAAATTACTTAAGTTTCATGGAAGTTAGAGGTGGGAGTAATGAAATGAATTGCAGAAGAGGTAGAGGTATGGACTTGTGAAGTTATAGGAAGTTGTAGTGAATTATTCTTCTGGAGAATCTTAAAAAGGGAGGTGTAGCAAGCATTATTTAAAGCACATAAATTGGCTTAGACACACCATTTGGTGATACCTGGTTCTGTCATTCTGGGGAAAAGGAAGTTTTCTTCTGTTTCTCACACAGTTGCTTGTACTTGATAGGATGAGGTCTAATGACTGAAATATGCTGGTAGCACTAACAAGTGCCAACTTTTGATTAAATTTCTGGGTAAATTGGACAAAGCTTTACAGAACTAATTTAGGAGACATGTATATACTATATTTATTTATGAAGTGATATTGACACAATTTAGAAATTGGATGTATCTGTAGGTATTATATAAGTGTCATTTTGAAAGTGTTGAAATAATACTTGAAAACATTGTACTAATGAATTAAAGTCTGAATTGTCTTATAGTTGAAGGAATAGAGATATGATTGAGAAACTTGTGTCCTGAGTCTCATTTGTATGGCAGCTTCTCCAAGTCTGAATATGTAGTAAAGGAAACATTTTTTCATGCTAGGTGGCTGCAATATTGAAGGAGAAGATGAAAGCTGGGATTTTGGCACTGGTGCTGGTTTTTATGTGGATGCCACTGAAGATCCTTGGAAAACAAACTACAGGATGTATTCCTACATAAAGGATGAGGTAACTTTGCTGCTGGGTTCTCCTGGTGTTGCTGGCTAAGATGAAGGGGTGTGGCTCCGTCACAGGAAATTCCGACTTCTTGTGTTACAAAGTTATGGGAGATTTCTATAGAGATACTTTGAGTTACTTATTATCAGTTCTGTGTTTCCTTTTGATTTCACATTCCCTTTCAAGTTGCTTTCAAGCCATGATCACAAATGTGAGGCTAGCACCAGAGATGTGCCTTTGGTTTCAGTGGAATTAAAAGCTGGTTAGATGTGTGCTTTTTTCTTAAACATACTTGAGTTGCTTTAACATTTTTATTACTCTTTTGTTTCCTTTACAGCTGCCTAAACTAATAAATGCCAATTTTCCAACTGACCCTGAGCGGATGTCTATTTTTGGGCATTCCATGGGAGGTCATGGAGCTCTTATTCTTGCTCTGAAGAATCCTGGGAAGTTCAAAGTAAGATAAAGTATAGCCTATATAAGGTATACTAATGCCTATATAGATTTCTGTAGATGTGATGGAAGAGAACATAATACTGAGTTCTTTGAGGGTATTAAATGTATAAATAATTTCATTTGCTGCAGCTTATTGTTACATAGTTTTTTGTTTTTTTGGTTTTTTTTGGTTGCTGTTGTCTTTTGAACAGTCTGTGTCAGCATTTGCTCCGATCTGCAACCCAATTCAGTGTCAGTGGGGGAAGAAAGCCCTTGGTGGATACCTGGGACCAGATGCAAGCAAATGGGAGGTATGTGTTGCAGCCACAGTTCTTTAATAACAGATGAATGAGTGATCTGTAAATACATCACAGCAGGAGCCTGGCAAAATCTGTGGAGGGCCCATGAGCTGCTACTATTGTTTTACTACATCCCTAAGCACAGAAAAGCATTGTTTGTTTCTGGCAAGAGTGACTTGCTGTTTCCTTATGGTGCTTATGAAAATGTAATGAGATACAGGTCCCTCATCAAATCAACTACATTCCTCTCAGTTTTTTTAAGATTTAAAAGTCTGGGCTGAGGACAATTATTTTTGTAGGAGCCTGAAGAGACAGACTGCTGCAAACTGTTCAGACTGATCAGCCTCATGACATCTTGCAGGGGCAGTCTGTGAGAAGCCCCTTTGATACTTGGAAATTGGTGTCCTGCAGAACAGGATTAAAATAATATTAAAATAGATAAAGTTAGGTTTTAGCTCCAGAGCCTTAATTTTGAGCTATCAGTTGTTGCATATGAATGGCTAAGATAAAAAAATGTTTGTCTGCATGATAGCTGCGTTACTTGGACAGCCCTTCAGTATTTTTAATCTCAACTTAAAGGTTGCACTGTATTTCTAAAATTAAGTTAGAAGGGATCGTTGTGACCATGTACTCAGGTTTTCCTGTAAATAAGCACAAGCTGCAGTTCAGTCCCTTGTAAATTGTATTAAAGTATGCCTTAGGAAAACTTCCAGGTCTGATTAAAACTTTACAGGATTGGAGAGTGTTCTGCTTTTCTAATTGTTAATGGAGTGGTTTGTGTACTTAGAAACCACCAGTTAAACTTGCTTAGACTTAATGTAATGGATTTATTGTGAAACAAAACAAAACAGCCACCCAAAAACCTGTTTTCTGTCCCCTTGTTCTGGAGTGCTTCTGCAAACCTAGTCCAATAGATCAACAGCAATCATCAGGAACAGACTTAGATCTGCCTTTGGCACAGATACACAACCTCTGATCTCTCTATTTTGGCTTAAAATTGCCATGTAAATACGTTCAGGATAATTTGATACCATGGCCACAGTGCTGTGCTAAGCCCAAGCTCCCATTTCCATCCCATTTCCATTTGTGGATCTGGTGGCATCCTGGAAGGATGGCTCTGATGCATTGGTGTAGGATTTCAGATTTTGCTATCCATTGGTGATTGGTTTTCTCCACAGCCTTAAAAACTTTGCTGCCTTTTTAAAGGAGTTATTTATTTTGAGCATGCAATAAGCACATGTTCCCCATCATAGTTAAATTTTGATACATGTATGTTTAGAGGTTTTATTTTTGTTTCTCAGTTGAACCAAATTTTCTTGGTCAAATGATCATGGCAACCTTCAGGTTAAATTCCTTCCCAGGAGCACAGTTGTGTTACACTGGTGTTTTGACACTTAGCTGCCAGAATAATTACACCAAGACACCAAGTTTCTTCAGCAGGTTATAGTTTCTGCACAAGGGTGTGAATTTGTATTGACAATACTGCTCTTCTTCCATTCTCTAGAAATTCTACCCTGGGCTGGATGTGCTGTTTGGCCAAATTGCCAACTTGGTAATTACTGAGCATACATTTGCCCTTTTTAAAGCAATGGGTATAACTTTTCAGTTGCCTGGAATTTCCCTGGCTTTTTGTTCTTCCAGAGTGCAACTTGGTGTCCTGATCAACGCTGCTCAGGACTTTTCCTGCGGTTGACAAACTAAAAACAGTTGAACATACGTAACTGAATATCATTTCTCTTTTATTTCTGCAGGCATATGATGCTACACAGCTTGTGAAGTCCTACTCGGGGCCTCGCCTTGACATCTTGATTGACCAAGGCAAGGATGACCAGTTCCTGTCTGCGGGCCAGTTACTGCCTGATAACTTCATTGCTGCCTGCACCGAGGCCAAAATCCCAGTCATCTTCAGACTGCAGCAGGCAAGTTGCTTCTGCAGTCCTTGGTTGTTGGGTTCTTGTTTGTCGTTTTTGGTTCAGTACAGCAGGCAGTGAAGAGAGTTTCTGCAAGGGGGCAGGCAGGCTCTCACTGTGGATCTGTCCCTGGTCACTTGAGGAGGAGGGTGAGAAGTGACAGTTTTCTGTCGCATGGGCCATGAGGGTGTGCATCACCCTCCCGATTCAGCCGTGCTTCACCACTAGGTGCCGTCGTGCTTCCAGCTTGGACAGGCTGATCCCTGCACGGGGACTCGGGCTGCCGGTGCTCGGCTGAAGACACAGCATTAATCATTTTTAATGATTGTACAGCCAAAGTGACACACTGCCTTCTGCTGCATCCCTTATCTGTGCTGTGGGTTTTGTGTTTACCATAAAACTTCTTGATTTAGTTTGCATGTGTTAGTGTAAATTGAGAAGGGGTGGAACTACTTGACATCCTAGATTCATGTAAAGACCCAGGTGGAAGGATGACTCTTACCTGTAGTGCAGTGGCCCAGAACAACACTGTCCTGAGAGCACTGGAGTCTTTGTAAGCCACTGGCAACTTCCACCCAGACCCAGTGAGGAGCCCAGTTGTGGAGAGTGAAGGATTCTCCTCTCTGATTTATCATAAACATTTCACCTAAAGATAAGAGTGCTGATGACGGGGTGTGGGTGACATTTCAGCACAGTGATGGAGCAGTAATTCAGACTTGGGCTGTGTTCTCCTTATCCCCCCGCTGTGTTTTACCAGAACAGTGCCAGTGGGGGCAACTGTTCTCTCACATTGCATCTCACTCTGCAGCTGGCCCTTGCTGGTACCCAGCTCTAGCTTACAGGCCCAGACCTGGGCAGGTTAAGGGACTTTCTGTTTGTTTGGCTTCCTAGTGCTCATCTACACTTAGCCTGTTACGTATCCCTTGCCATTTTTATATATATTCCAAGTACTTCTTAAAATGGATAAAACCAGGACAGTCATTACATTTCCTTTAAGAGAGCTTAGTGTGACTGCTTTATCATGAGCTGCATGTTCTCTGCTGATTGCTTTATTGTTATTCTTTTCTAGGGTTACGATCACAGCTATTTTTTCATTGCTTCATTTATTAATGACCACATCAAACACCATGCAAAATACCTCAATGCTTGAACCATTTGGATGGGAGTGCTGCCTGGCCAATATGAATCTAGAGATAGTGGTGAACTAAACAAAAATCATTTGCTGAAATAATGTTTGTAAAACTGAGCTCTTCTGATTGTACTTCTAAGAAAAATAAAAGTCCCACTTAATTTGATGTGTGTGCTTTAGAGTAAGTATTGGGAATGTTCTTGCATACTTGGAAAACTCTTGATGCCATGAAGTTATATCTGCTGCATTTTGGGTTAAAATGTAAGCCAGCAGATGAGTGACTTTCAGACCATGAGTATGGGTGTGGACGTGGCACCTGTAGAGAGCTCCTAGTGCAACTGTGCAAAGACTGTGATTAACAGCAGTGTGCCCATTCAGCCAATTAATTACTGGGGGTTTACTTCATCCTTTAATGGTGAAGGAAGTTGTTAGTGGCACAGCTAATCAAGCTACTTAATTAATCTGAAGTGGTAGGTGTGTTTTCCTTGGCCAGTGTAAATACCTTCCAAGGACCAAGCCTGGTTGAGAATACAGATAAAAGCCTGCTTTGCACAGGCTTACTGTCCCCTGTGCATTATCAAGCAGATGATCTGAAGTATTTAATGGATGATACTTATAGAAAAGACCTGTTAAAAAACATGTGAAGGAAGCGGTCTGTAGTAAAAAGGATTTTTTCTCCACTTGCCTTTGAGTCTTAGAGTGTGAAAGACTTGTACTGTGTATCTTAGATTTGACAGGACTGAGAGGAAACTGCTAAGAGAGCTGAAAAAAGCAATTGCTATCTAGATGATCTGATACCTCATTGCTGAAATCAAGTGTGCTTATTTTACAAAAGATTTTAGTCCTGACAGTTTAGATCTAAAATAGTTCTTGGTGGTGTAATTCTGCCAGCTGCCTTGGACAAGAACACAGATTGTTCCAGTTAGCTGCAAGTAATCACTTGTAAACTCAGCTTTCTCATGGTTCAGCTGGACCTGAATCATTGCTCAAAACTTGACTCACTCTTGCCAGAAGAAATGCTACCACAGATGTAGAATGTGTTTCCTTTTTTAAGCAATGCTGAATGCTCTCCTGTGTCTCTGGCTCCTGCTGGATTCTAGGTTACAGGGAGGCTGGTGCTGGTGACAGCCTTAAACTATGAATTAACTTGTATCAATCTTGCATCTATTTATTTTATATAATATTTATTTTTATTTATTTGATTTAGATTTATAAATAATAGATATTTTATTTGATATTTTGTATCAGTTTTGCATCTGTTTATTTATTAAGTAAGCTCTGAAAGCTGGAAAGATACAACTGTGTGCATTGCAAGAGCTCTCTAGAAGGAAATTATTGCAGAAAGATCCTCTGCTTCCAAAATGCCATATCAAATGTGAAAAAGTACAGCCCATAAAGTCAAGTCGCCTGTTCACTAAGGCAAAGACACTACATTAGAGGAATTGGAATCTAGGAGGATCCGTACTTGGATGACTTCAGAAACCTGCATGGGCAAGAGAAGGCTGGATGCTGTGACCTGCTCCTAGTTTCTGCAGCCAGGGGCAGAGCAAAGCAGCTGAGCCCAGCCCTGGCTCACACTGGGTTATCCCTGGGGCAAAAGGGGTTACTGTGTTTACTGCTTGGACTCAGTACTATCAAGGAATCTTCAGGTTTTGTTTGCTGAAGTAGAAAGCTGCAGAACAATTTCATTTCAGGAGGAGAAAAGGCTGCCCTGTAGAGAGAAGCGTTAGCAGTAAAATGAACAACTCTCATACACCAACGTGAGCACAAAGTCCCCCCATCTCCCTGAGCCCAGCCCTGCAGCAGAGGGCAGATAATTCACTGCCACTGCTGCACTGGCAGGAGGCCCTCACAACAGGAGCAGCAGAGCTGCAGGGAGAACACTGCAGGTACCCAATGGCTACCAGCTGGATCTTATGCCTACTTTAGCTGCAAAATTCCTTCATTTGCATCACATCATCATCTTCCCCCATGCCCAAACCCGTAATTTCCAGTGTTACACTTTCCAACTACCATCTCTTTTACAAGAAATCATCAGTCACAGGGATAAGGCATTAAAGGGTTTCTGCAAATAATATAGTTTAATTGTAACTACAGTAAAGACTTTCTATATACATTATGTTCACTGTGGAGGATATTACAGATTTGCCATGCATGTCTTATTGCACATATAAATATTGTACAAAGGATCATGAAGATTCTCTTTTTAGCCGTACAGGTTAAGACTGCATAAAAAAAGCTGTATTACAAAATACTTAGAGCTATTTACAGCCAACTTCAAGCAAATACTGAAAGACAATAGCAGGAGAAAAACAGAATTTTAATTATGAAAAAACAAGATTTGTCAAAATAATAATAATTACAAAGCTTCATGTTGCCATATATACATTGTAAAAAAATACTCAGGAAACCTGCATTTTATCCCTCAAGATGCAGAAATCAATATTCCTATTTTTATACTTGACCCTTGAATGCTTCTAAAATTTGATAAACTCTGACTTGAAAACTTATTTTCTTTACATTGCTCATGCTTTTTGACAAAACAGATATTTGTGCAGCTCTGTAAAATATTAAAATACATTTTCATTTAGTGTTAAAGTGCACAGTACATTTTATAGGAAACAATATGCTAGCTGCCAATCAAATTACAATTTAAGTCAATGTTCCCTCTACAAAATAAATGGTTTTGCTTTGGTTGAAGTAACTGGATATTCCATGCATACTCTCTCACTGTCTGTGAGTCCACCTCCCTCCTTCTCACACGCTGCTGTCACTACCTCCCAGCCCCTCAGCAAGTGGTGGTGTTGAAGTGTCTGCTCTGCCTTCAGACACCATCTGAAGCTCAGCAGATCTGCTACTGAACGTGGAGGGGTTTAAAAGCAGTGCCTGGGAGCGTGTGTGCAGCTGCCTCGAGAGGGGGTGGTGACAAGTATGCATCACTGCCCAAAAGCCTTCATACAATAGTTCTCTCCACATTCTCTTGCTTAAATATCAATCCTCTCACCTCCTTGCCTCTTTTTTTTGCCACTCTACATTTCAAACTCCCTGCTTGTGTGGCCCCAGCCAGCTTCCCTTTTCGCTACATGCAGCTGCCCTGTCCTGCTTGCCCAAACCCCAGCACTGGCTTCTTGTGTGAATGAAAATGGGATGTTCCAGATAGCAGAAGAATCACTGTGCTGGAACTTTTTGATCTAAAATGCATGATGTCTTAGCAATAAATTATGCTTTTAAAAATCTCTGAAAAATGTAAAGTGGTGATAAGGAGAAGAACTTTTATTTCCTATTGCTGACATGGAAGTAGAGGTCTGATGCTGCAAATGTGCACTACAGAACATTGTGCTTAATTCTGTGGATACTTTTAAAGAGAAGCACTGTACCCAGGCAGGTTGGATCTGGAAGATCAGGTCTTTGAGACTGCCTTTGGCTATTTCAGTCATTTTACCTCCTCTTGACAGAATCACTGAAGAAAACAATTTTTTGGCTGTCTGGTGAATTTTGTTAATGATCTTGTGCTATTTTTTATTATTGGTTCTGTAGTGCTGTAATCTTTAAAAAGAAATCAAGTTACAGTGCAAAATTACATTTCAAGACACATGATCCTAATACACATAATTCATTTTGTTGTGGCAAAAGTTAAATGTCTTGTGCATAGTAAAATAAGCAATCAAAAATATTTGTTCACATTTATTTTTCAAGTTTACATATTTCCTTTTGTTTTTTGTTTTTAAACATCTATATACAAATAAAATGGGTGTGCTTTCACTTTCAGCCAATTTAGTCTAGTGAGGGGAGAGGTGTTACTGGAATGTATGTAGGAAACTCAATGGAATGCAGACATTTTTTACCAATGTTCCACAGATTGAAGAAATAAAGAATGCCATTCCAGCTAGCTGTTCTTTTAATAGAAGCACCTATTTTGTTTGCTTTTTATCTTACATATTAGAAAATACAATTTATGGAGATCTAGAGCTACTGCACACCAAGTAGAATAAAAAATAACTAAGTATTTATATTAAAATAAAGTGTTTAACCACAAAAAAAGCAGTAATAAAATACAGTTTCCTAATATACATTTTGCATCCAAAGGATGAATAACAACTCACTAATAAATAATATATATATAAATATTTTATGTCTGGATATTTTTAAAAGGCAATAGCCTGAAGCAACTGCAGAAAAACCTAAGGTGGTAGCAGTCTGATTTACCCTCCCTTCTCCCTCCCCCCAGGTGATTACAGTGATTCTTAGTTTAGTAATACAAAGGTATCTTGCTGCAAGACAGCTGTGTACTCCACACAATTTTAAGTGGCAGAGAAGTGGTTGTTTTAATAAGTACTGTACAAAGTGAGCTATAAAAGCAGTGAAGCGCCAACTTCCTCTAGAAAATGTTTCTGTTCAGTTTCTGCTTTTTAGTTCGACACATACGTACAGTCTGAAAATATGAGTTTAAAATCATAAGAATACTCTTGGAGTACTGAGTTGTTTTCAATGCAGTTTGAAAAAATGGGCAGTTTTTTGATTCTTTCATGGCACAGTGTAGCTGGTAACAGCAGAGAGAGTAGTTTCATGTGAATAAAGCTTGTTTCACTGTGGTTACATCTAGCAATGCTTGAACTGTTATGCTCACTTTTACCAAGCCCTTTTCTTCTAGGATGTGATGTGGTAGGCAGAGCTTCTCCTAGAAAAAGACAAAAAAAGGAGTAAAAATTAGAATATTTAGTACTCACTGCAGAACCTCACTTCACATGATTACATTTGGAACACAAAGCCCAGCAAGCAGGAATCGTTTCCTATTTTTAATTAAAAAGAACTTCCTGTTATTTTGACAGAAAGCCTCTGATTTTGCTCCTGCTACACCTAAGAGTTAGTGAAAGATTTGTTAATATTCTGGGCCCCAGAACCAAGTTGTTCTGTGGTCATTACAGCATGTAAACAGCTAAGAGGGAGGGCCAGCAAGCATACACCAAACTTTCACCGACAAAGCAGGATAACACGGCATTTGCTTTATTATATGTGTGAGATGGGGGATGGAAGGCTGAATTTTTTTAAAAAAAGCAAACCAAAAAACCCCCATTCTCTCACTCAGCTCTAGACAAGTCCCAGGATATGCACATTGAAAATTACACACTAGCACATAAAGGGAAGTGTGTGCAATGGTGTGCATTC